TAGCCCCACCGCCAGGAATCATCGAACCCAGGTTACAAGGTCGAGTTCGTTGACCATTCACAGCGAGATTGGAAGCTGTGTGTTCTATGCACACGTACGTATATGCTTCATTTTCCCACTTATTTTTCCATCCTCCTTTTCTCTCTTCTTAAGGCTTGCCGAAATATTCTCAAGGATTGTTTACAAACAACTAATAACAATGTCGATGAAGCAGTTCTACTCGCATTGAATCGGATCACACTGAATAGTAATAGTAATAATAACAGTGATAACACAACTGGTAAAGAATTGAATACTTCAAAAAGAAATAAAACTATAGTCACCGCCTCAAAGTCATCACCGTCAACAACCACAACAACAACAACAACAGCTGATATCGATGAGAAACTTGATGAAAAGGCGAAATCCCTAGTGCTTGATCGTTATGACTTCGTATCAGAAAGTGGTGGTGGTGGTGGTGGTCAGCTGGCAAAACCAAAATTACCAAGTGTATGTTTTGTTTATTGTTTAACTACTGTTTCATCCTAAAATATGTGTGTAAAACTTGGCCACTGTGATAGTAAGTAATTCCGTATCAGTTTGTTTATTAGATGGATATATCACATACAGTCAGTGAAACAGTATTATTATATACTGGATGTGAGAAGGTTTCGAACAAAATTTATTTTATTTATTGTTCATATTCATATCGCCAGTTATAATCACACGACTTTGAAATTTAAGTTTTTATAGTTTTCCTCATTATTCCTTCCTATTCGTCGTCCTAGGGGTAGTAGAATTTTCCAGATGTGAGGGTGGGTGGACAACTGTTGAATCATTTCTATTACACGTACTCTCTTCAGTTGATTCGATAAATAAAGCTTCTATTATCAATCAATCTCTCCCTTCATCCTGTTATATTAGATTAGATTTTAGAACTATCATTTTATCCCATCATCCTGTTGTATGGTTGGTTGTGTGTTGGTTGTGCATTTGCATGTAGTGAGTGCTATAGCTGAACTAACTATTCTCCAGATTTCTTATCTTACTCGGGTCCGTTATCTTGACCGATATTTGGTTGATTTCCGATGATTTTACCTCACGTCAGTAAAAAATAGGATTGGTGAAATGTCTAGGTAATAGAGCAAAAAGAAACTAAATGGTACCAAGGGAAATCTAAGACAGAAAGTGAGGCATATGAGAGAAGCTTTAAAACTTAATAACTACCCTGATAAATTAATAAGGAAGTATGTAGGGAAATGTAAAAATAAAATAAGTAATGATAGTAGTGATAGTGATGATAATAATAATAATAATAATAATAGTAATATCAATGACGACATGGATGTCAAACATGCACAGAATGATGACAACACCAACCAACAAAAAAGGAATCTAAATCATCAGTAGTAAGTCCATAGAAGGAAGGAACCTCGGAAACCCTACGGCGGAGAATTCTTAACAATGCAGGCAGGAATAAAAGTGGCTGGCATTCAATCCCACCCCACAAACTCAATTAGAAATAAGCTTTGTCGATTAAAGGATCAATCCTGTGGAGCCAATTTAATGAAACAATTTAGTTTATCTAATACCCTGCTGCTTGAATGATTGTGTGTCAGGTCAAATACATAGGTCAAAGTAGGAGAATAGTGTCAGTCAATCAGTCAGACTAGCGAAGCACAAAAAACCTTGCAGCAAAATCTAGATTAGTTCACCCTAATGAAATAAGAAACCTGGAGAATAGTTAGTTCAGCTACAGCACTCACAACATGTAATTACACACAACCAACAATGCAACAGGATGATGGGATAAGATGACAGTTCGTTCTAAAATCTAATCTAATGAAATAGGGTGGAGGGGCAGACTGATAACAGAACAGAAGCGTTATTTATCGAGTCAACTGAAGAGAATACGTGTAATATGAATGATTCGACACCTGTCTTCTTCTATATGGGTCAGAAACTTGGCCAGCGTGTCACAGAAGCATTTCCAACAGGTCAGTGCAGACTTTTATCAATAGGTGCATCCGCTCCATATTGAGGGTCAAATGGCCGGCGAGTAAGAATTAGCCAGAAGAAGCTCTTCAGTGGAACGATCCGAGATGGATTGATCGGGTATACACGCCAGTGAGGAGGAGGCTGTCGGTCGAATGACATCAAGCTCAATCAATACAGGCTATCACCCAATTGGAATCCGAACGGGAAGCGACCACTGGGTGGTGAGTGCGAGGGTGACATGGAGGAGATGGTGTGTTGGAGAGAAGGAGTAGGAGATGAGATGTTATGGGCGATCTGCGGGTTAGCCAGATGAAGTGGACAGTGAATATGTGTTGTTGAAGCCCTATGTTCCACTCGGCACCCAAGGGAATAATATATATATATATATATATATCTTGTGAGGAACACCCTCGCTGTGTAAAGGCAGTGAACACAACTTAGCAACTAATCTATCTCGGATTCAAATCACACTCTGTCTGCATCGATTTGAATAACTGGCTACCATCATAAACCTCTTTGCGCACACATTAGGTACGTAATCATAAGTAAGTAAATCCTGTATTGACTATTTGCTTTATTAATCTATTTTCTGATTTTAATTTATTGACTTGGAATAATTACATAATTAATTCAATAGAATGATTTATTGTTTATCGATCAATTTAAAGAATAAATTCGAATTACAAATTCAAGTAAGATAGGGAAATATTGAAGACTTCAATAAGTTGAATATATTTATCCAGAACCGGAATTCGAAATTTTGAAATTACACATTTTCAGGTGGGAAAATTCACTGCGGTTTCCTTTTTCAAAACCAAAATTATTGTCATCGCAGTATACGATCTGCTTGATACCTACGTACCACCTTCAGCTCTCTAAGTTGACTCTCCAGTCTGGCGACCTCACCTCCACCACCTCATGATGGTCAGACTTGGATACCGCAGTGACCCCAACAAGCTACACTGGCTGGGACTTATGTTCTTGCAGGTCCTACCATGTCACGAAGGTTGTTTAGATAGCGATTAGACTGAAAGCAGTTACTATGAGGTAGGTATATGGGCTCCAGAATCCAATCGGATCAAATAGCGTATGAACATGTATAGGTCAGCAGCAACCATGGAAACGTAGCTCCTGACGCTGCGTTGTGGATTAGACTCCAAGTCAAAGGCTTAGGTGTTGGTCCCTTAGGATAAGCACCTGCTGCGGTCTAAACTCCCGGGCAATATCTCAGCTATCACACAATCACAATCAACAATCTAAGTTGAATCTGCCTCGGTACACCACTGATCAGCTTGATCCTAAGTGAGCGAAACAACTGTCTGGTGTGAGTGGGGTTCCCCACCACTCATATCAGTTAATTAGTAGCATATGCCTCCATGGGTTGATTACCTGTTCGATTATTCACATTCTGAACGTAAAGAAGTAGTTCTGCAACACTATCCTACACCTATATTCGGAAATCAATAATCTTGAATCAGGTTCTAATTAATTATATAAATGAAATGGTACTGACTGACTGACTGGTTTCAAAGTAGAACTTTGCACGGGTGTGCAGCACTTCGAGTCGCCACACTCTCTCCTTGTAGTACACAAAGCAAGAGAAGAAAGTAGAGAGAGACAGATAATAAACAAGTGTGAGGCGAATAGAATAGTAACATGGAGGAACAGTAGAGTTTTATTGGATATTATAAATCACAAAGTGTGAATGCATCTGCGCCGTCTGAGCCATATCACCAATTGTCTCTAGCCTTCGTTGGTTTTTACCATCTCGAGGACGCCAACGAGTCAGTCGGGAAGTCCTACACCTCCCTACGTGACTGGCTGTCTGGTTGGCTTAAACTAACCGTTGTGGATTTCATGGACTGATGTCAAGTTTCGTTTTGACCAAGCAGCATTAGCTCTTTTCCAACCTGATCAATCTTATGACAGTCAGATAATATTGTTCGTCGAGGATGGCGATGCTTAAGCTGGGCATGCGTAAAACATGTCCTAACCATCTCCCTTAATCGGTGATTGATTTCCCTTCCCACTGACCTAAGACTCGACCAACACCTAACCTCAATAATACTCACCTCCTTATACCACCTAACACATGGGAGACAGAACACAGACACCTATGATAAGAGATAAATAGCCAGGTTTTTCATTTCTCCCATTTTCAATGGTCATGTCTCACAGTCATAAAGGAGAAGAGAGTGAGCTGTTGCTGTTGCTGTGCTGTGCAGTACACACGCCTGTTGGTCGACAGCCAGCAAACCGGATATCACGTCTACTAAGCCAGAGATGGTGTAAGTTGGCATATGCCCAAGGAGGCTTCTGTATCCGTGGCTGAAATTTCACCAGTAAGCGGAATCTGAATGGGAAACAAAGTTGGGCGTAAGTTTGAAAGTGACAAGCGGAGGTTCTGTGAGGAGGAGATGAGAGCTTATGAAGAGTCGTTAGGCCAACTTAAGACGACTGCAGAGAACAGGATAGCATGGGGATGAGCTATTGAAGCCCTATGTTCTACTCGGAACCTAAGAGAACAATAATAACAATGCAAACAATAGTAGGTGTTCTTCAATCCACAGATTAATTGTGCCAGAATTACACTGAGTAATCACTATTATTATTATTCCCTTGGGTTCCGAGTGGGGAACATAGGACTTCAACAACACAACTCCACCTCATTCTATTTCCCGCTGCCTTCTTCTCTTCAGTTGGCTAGGCCCACGATTACTGCCCATAATCTCTCATCTCCCAATCTCTCACTCTCTGCTGTGATTGATTGTTGAGTTCCTCAAGGTTGGGCTTTGTTATCTCGTTGTTTATCTCGTGACCCCCATTCGGGACGTAAACATTAACATGAAGTAGTGTCTACAATATTGGCTAGCAGACAGCTCTCACCACACTCTATTACATTTTTATGCTTATTATAATTGAACACAATTTTACACATATCTCTCATCGAAATGGGATACATGTGAAGAGGAGGAGCAGAAGAAGAACAAGAGGAAGAAGGCGAAGACGGAGAAGAAGCGGAAGTGTCATGAAACATTCATTGATAAACGGCCATTCTAATGTCAACACTGTCTATCTGATATGATGAGTGCTCAACGGTTTCGAAAGATGAACAGGAGGACAACGAAGGAAGGAAGGAAATGGTACATAGAAAGTCATGTATCTCCCCTCCTGATGAGGTCGGCTTGATCACATGTGAGACTTTCTACGAAGCCCTGGTACTTTGGCTTCAGCGAATTTAAGCATACTGATCACACTTCACTTTCTCCTTAGTCATTTGGAATGCCGCGTCAAACTGGGGCTTGTATAATAAATATAATTTAGGACAAGTTATGCCGAGAACAAACGCGATGGTTATTAGGGTAAGCAAATTAAACCAAGCACCTACTACCGAAAGTAGGTAGGTATAAAGACACAAGGAACTTTGCAGTCTCATAGTAATCTTGCAACCACATTACGCGACGTAAATAATTCAACTTTTCGGACAATCTTTCACACAAAGCTGGGACACGCTCGGCAATTTTTTCTTGAGGTGGTAAAGTGATGTTCAA